TTGGGAGGATCACTTCAGCTCAGTTGTTAGTAGGGGCCAGCCTGGGCAACACAGCCAGACCTCCAGCTCAAAAAAATTTTAAATAAGTACAAATAAAATATATCATCTGAGAAGAGGTGTGCCTTAAATTGTATGTGCTCCAGATAAGGAGCTCTAGAAGTTTAGAGGAAAGGATATCAAGAATATTAGAGCTGGGGCTGGGGTGGTGGCTCAGTAGTAGAGCACTTGCCTAGCATGTGTGAGGCACTGGGTTCAATTCTCAGCACCTCATATAAATGAATGAATAAAATAAAGGTCCATCAAAGTCTAAAAAAAAGAAAATATTAAAAAAAAAGAATATTAGAGCTGGAAGAAACTTTAGAAGTTGACTGGAAGGCTGGGATTTAGCTCAGTGGCAGAATGCTTTTTCTCTGCCTACCTACCCAGCCCTTCAGCCAATCCAATTGGCCACAACCTAATTCTAAACTAATGCTCTTTTTTGGGGCAGGTGGGGTGGGTACGAGGATTGAACTCTGGGGCACTCAACCACTGATACACATCCCCAGCCCTATTTTGTATTTCATTTAGAGACAAGGTCTCATGGAGTTACTTAGAGCCCCACTTTGACTGAGGCTGGCTTTGAACTTGAGATTCTCCAGCCTCACCTTCCTGAGCCACTAGGATTACAAGGCAGGCACCACCATGCCTGACTCTGCTCTTGTTTTTTTTAAATGAGGAAACAAGCCAAATTGAGAGGATTATAATAACCAAACAATGTTATTGACTACTTACTTTTACTTTGTGCCGTTTTTGTTGCCGAAAGCTAGATCCTTTTCCCCAATGCCAATTAATTAATGAGGACATGGTTTTGAGAAAACAGAAAAAGGGGGTTTATTGCTTTGCTAGCAAAGGAGAAACAGGGGACTCCTATCCCAGTCTGTGATTCTGCCCATCATGGGGCACAGGGGGCATTTAAAGAGGTGATTCAGAGAAAATTAGATCAGGAGATCAAGGAAAAGAAGATCTAGAAGTTCATGGAAAAAGAGATTGGAGGGCTGGGGTTGTGACTCAGCGTTAGAGAGCTCGACTAGCACGTGTGAGGCACTGGGTTTGATGCTCAGCACCAAGTAAAAATAAATAAAATAAAGGTATCGTGTCCAACTACAACTAAAAAATATATATTTTTTTAAATAAAAAAGGACTGGTAAAAAGAAAAAAACTTGTAAGTTCCAAAGCCACAGGGATATAGTCAAAGCATCAAGTGAACCCTTGTTATACTTTGTGCAGGGCTTTATCTTTGATTTCAACCCTATGAAGAAGATTACTTTTTTTTATACTGGGTATTAAACACAGGTATGTATTACATCTGAACTACATTCTCAGACTTCCTTTTTATTTTTATTTTTATTTTTTTATTTTGAGAGAGGATCTTGCTAAATTGCTCAGAGCCTTGCTAAATTGCTGAGAATACAATCCTCCTGCCTCAGCCTCACAAATAGCTGGAATTACAGGTGTGTGCCACTGTGCCCCACTTGAACATATTCTTGTTTTTACAGACAGGATTTTCCCCCCCAGTACTGGAGGATTAAACCCAGAGGTCCTTTACCAGTTAGCTATAATCCCAGCCCTGTTTTTAAATCTTGAGACAAGATCTCACTAAATTGCTGAGCTGGGCCTCAAATTTGTGATTCTCCTGCCTCAGTCTCCCTAGTTGCTGGGATTACAGGAATGTGCCACCACAGATGGAGATTAATGTTCATAAAAAGAATTTGAGACCTATGAAATGATTGGAATCTCTAGGTATGTTTTATTCTAGCAGGCTGACATTGGACTAGAGTAAGAGGAGAGGGGAGGGATTCCAGGCAATGTAAGCAATCCCTTCCCCTCTCCTCTTCCTCTCTAGTCCCATGATTAACCAAGGGAGAAAAGGAGAATTTCCTGCCCTTTGTGAGTGGAAAGCATTGAGAGAGGGCAGCGGACTGCAATGGGGAAGGCTTTAACTGCTGGAGGATAAATGTGTGGATTCTTTTTTCTTTTTAATTTTTTTAGATGTTGATGGACCCTTATTTTATTCATTTATTTATATGCAGTGCTAAGAATCAAACCCAGTGTCTCACACATGACATGCTAGGCAAGTGCTCTACCACTGAGCCACAAACCGGGTCCCTCCTTATGAATTCTTAACAATTTGGCCACTTCCCTTCACCTTGACTACCACTACCATGATCTGTGCCATTATCATTTCTTCCCGAAATGTTGCAAAAGCCTCTGAATTTTTCTTCCTCTTCCACTTCATTCCCCACTCATCTCAATATAATCCTCTTTGTTTTAGGAGTGATTATTCTATAATGTAAATGGTCCTCTTTGACTTGACATTCCTTTCCTTGAAATCTTTCAAGAACTTTAAATTTGCTGGGCATGATGGCACCGCCTATAATCCCAGCAATTTGGGCTAAGGTGGGAGGATCCCAAATTTAAGGCTAGCCTGGACAATTTTAGCCAGACCCTGTTTCAAAATACAGAGGGTTGAGGAAGGGGGCATGTAGCTTGGTGGTAGAATGCTTGCCTAGCTAGCACAGTAGAGCTTCTGGGTTCAATTCCTAGTATTACTACCAAAAAGAAAAAAGAAAGTCAAGGTCTGTTGGGTGTGGTGGCACATGCCTGTAGTTCCAGTTGCTCTTAAGACTGAGGGAGGAGGATCACTTGAACCCAGGAGATCTAGGCCCACCCAAGCAACATAGGGAGACCCTAAAATACCAGAGCCAAGCATGGTGGTGAACACCTGTAATCTCAGTGACTCAGGATGCTGAGACAGGAGGATCACAAGTTTGAGGCTGGCTTAGACAATTTAGCAAGACCCTGACTCAGAATAAAAAATAAATAAAAAGTATTGGGGCTGGGGATGTGGCTCAAACGATAGTGCGCTCGCCTGGCATGCACAGGGCGCTGGGTTAGATCCTCAGCACCACATAAAAGTAAAATAAAGATGTTGTATCCACCAAAAAACTAAAAAATAAATATCAAAAATTCTCTCTCTCTCTCTCTCTCTCTTAAAAAAAAAAAAAAAGTACTGGGTGCCAGGTACAGTGGCACATACCTGTAATCTTGGTGACTTGGGAAGCTGAAGCAGGAGAATCACAAGTTCAAAGGCAGCCTCAGCCATTTAGCAAGGCCCTAAGAAATTTTAGCAAGACAATAAAAAGTACAGGGGATGTGGCTCAGTGGTAAAGCACCCCTGGTTTATTGAAAACAAACAAAAACAACAACAAAAACACCCAGGCACCATGGCAGAATTCCAAGATCTCAGCAACTAGGGGAGGCTAAGGAAGAAGGATCCCATGTTTAAGACCAGCCTTGGAAATTTAACTAGACTGTCTCAGAATAAAAGGACTGGGGATGTAGTTCAATGGTAGAACACCCCTGGGTTCCATCACCTTATGGGGTGGGTGTGTGGGGGTGGGGATTAAGGCATCTGTCTGTTGCTAGACTTGAAAATCCTCAGGGTCAAGTATTGTGTCTGTTTCCTTCACTGCTGCTTTAACATAGTACTTAGCATAGTCCTCTCCTTGTTTCTAATAAATGTATATAGAATGAATGAATGAATGAACAGATGTGTGTCCCTTTTCATTGGGAAGCATAAGCACACAGATACCCACAAATACAACCTGTTAGTGCTCAGTTGACTTTTTTTTTCCCCCTTTTTGTGGTGCTGGGGATTGAACCCAGGGCTTTGTGCATTCGAGGCAAGCACTCTACCAACGAGCTATATCCTCAGCCCTCAGTTGACATTTGAATAAATTTTTACAATGCGCACAATGATTTATTTCAGCTTATACTTTATTGGTTTGGTTTCTCTTGGGGACTCTGGAGTAGGGCGGAGGCAAGAGTTGAGTAAGTGAAGGGCAGAGTCCAATCTTGAAACTGGGTTGGTCAGTCACTAAGACCTGGGAAAGTGGAGAAACAAGAGGAGGGGGGTGGGGTGGGGTCCTTATCAACTGGGAGTCAGCTCAGCAAGTTTATTTATCCTATTGCCCAGCAGGAGCCAAACTGCTCCTACCTTCAAATGACCTTTTTAATGATAAATAATCAAAATAATTCACTAAACTACAGAGACAGTTACCCACCTTACTATGGAGATTCTCTCTTATCTCTTTTCTATTAGCTTGGATACATTCCCTTTTCCCTTTTTACTCTCTGGCAGACGCCTTTCCAGATTTGTCCCTTCCATTCCTTCCCAGTTTCCCAGTATTAAAGTCTGGATGTGATTCAGTTTCTGTATCTAGCTTGGTGTCTGCCTATTGGATGGGTGTCCTGTCTCATCCTTAGGTGCCTGAGTCCATAATCTTTAGTCCCTTTCTCTAGGACCCAATACATAGACTGAAAGATTTTCTAGCTGGTAATCACTGAGATCATCAGTGTCTACACAACAGGGCAAACAGCCTCCAACTACAGAAGTTTCCATCACTGAAAGGTGTCATAGCCCCAGGGTCCAGAGGGAAATCTGAGAATAGGGATGGGCAGCTGAGCTAGGTAAGAGAACTGGGAACTGGGACTTGAGGAGGATGAGAGGGAAATCCCAGTAGTAATGACAACTGCTGATACTTCTCAGCTCTTATTCCTCCTCAGGTGTGGCCCTCAGCTCATTACTTGCATTATCTTATATAAACTTCATCACCATGCCATTAAATGATCCTCCCATTCCACCCCCCCAAACCTATGCTGAGAATGGCATGCTAGGCAAAGTGCTCTACCACAGAGGTACACATCAGCCCGCCATGAAATGGTTTAAATAGGTCTCATTTTAATGAAAACACCGAGGTCCAGAAAGGCTAAGTAATTTGCCAGTGTATATTGGGGCAGAGATTTGAATAAGGGCTGGTGTATGGTTCAGCTTGCTTAGCCTGCCCCAGGCCCTGGGTTCCATCCCTAGCACTGTGGGGTGGGGAGATCTGAATTCATGTGTAACCCAGAAGCTCAAGCTTCTAACCTTTGTGCAACATGCCCAAAACCACTGTACTCCCTCACCTGAGTGTGCAGAGCTCTGTCTGGTCCACCATCCAGGCCAGCAGCTTTTGAATCAACAACTCCTTTAGTAGATCTTCATCACCAGGGTTCTTGGGTAGGGAGCTGCAAAGAATACAGCCTATGGGAGCCTGCTTGAGTTTGGGCCTCACCCAGAGAAAGCAAATACAGGACCTAGGACTCAGAAGGAGCCCTTGGAAGTGGGGACAGAGCCAACACAGCTGCCTATTGGTTATCTCTGCTCTCAGATCCTGAGCTTCCTTTTCACTCTTCAGTACAGGCAAGGTCAAATAGGAATCTACTACAAGGCCAGGCATGATGGTGCATGCTTGTAATCCTAGCTACTTGGAAGGCTGAGGCAGGAGAATCGCAAACTCAAGAACAGACTCAATGATGGGACCTCGAGCCGCGGGCAGAGCGGGTGTGTTCCGTTGTCGCGTTTCCACCGCGATTTCCTCTTTTAATCTTCCTTAGTTCCTAAGACTTTCAAGGTATTTGCCACGTTTTTCTTATCATCTGCCCTATCATTTAAAGTTTTTTCTTACTCAAAAAAAAAAAAAAAAAAAAAAAAGAACAGCCTCAGCAATTTAGCAAGACCCTGTCTGAAAATAAAATATAAAAAGATGGGATGTAGCTTAGTGGTAAAGCATCCCTGAGGGGCTGGGGATGTGGCTCAAGCGGTAACGCGCTCGCCTGGCATGTGTGCGGCCCGGGTTCAATCCTCAGCACCACATACCAACATCTTTGTTGTGTCCGCCAAAAACTAGAAAATAAATATTAAAAAATTCTCTCTCTCTCTCTCTCTTAAAAAAAAAAAAAGAATTTCTAAAAAATAAATAAATAAATTTAATAAATAAAAAATAAAGCATCCCTGAGTTTAATTCCCAGAACCAAGAGAAGAAACTTGCTGGTGCAAACCAGGCATGGTGGTGAACCCCTGTAATCCCAGTGGCTCAGGAGGCTGAGGCAGAGGCTGGATGATTTCAAGTTCAAAGCCAATTTTAGCAATTTAGCAAGATCCTAGGCAACTTAGCAAGACCCTGTCTGGATAAGCATCCCTGGTACTAAAAAAGAAAGAAAGAGGAGCTGGGGTTGTGGCTCAGTGGTAGAGGGCTTGCCTAGCAATGTGTGAGGCACTGGGTTCAATTTTCAGCACTGCATATAAATAAATGAACAAAATAAAGGCCCATCAATGTTTAGAAACTGCCCAGGAGCTGGGAGTGTAGCCCAGTGGTAGAACACTGACCTAGTATGCACAAGACCCTTGATTTGATCTCTAGCACTGCAAAAAAAGAAAAAAAAAAGAAAAGAAATTCTAGCCCCAAAACTTGCAGAATCTCTCCTCTGTGAGTTTGGTCTGACCCCAGGAGTTTGTTGTTTGTTTGTTTTGTACCAGGGATTAAACACAAGGGTACAACTGAGTCACATCCCTAGTCCTATTTTCTATTTTATTTAGAGACAGGGTCTCACTGAGTTGCTTAGTGCCTCGTTTTTTGCTGAGGCTGGCTTTGAACTCACAATCCTCCTGCCTCAGTCTCCGGAGGCATGCAGTACTGTGCCCTGACCCCAGGAGGTTTTTGTGGTACTGAAGATTGAACCCAGGGGTGCTTTACTGCTGAACTACATCCCTAGCCCTTTAAAAAACTTTTTTTTTTTTAGTTGTTGATGGAGTTTTATATTTTTTATTCATTTAGTTATATGTGATGCTGAGATTAAACCCAGTGCCTCACACATATGAGGCAAGTGCTCTACCACTGAGCCACAACCCCAGCCCTCCTTAGCCCTTTTATTTATTTTTATTTTTGAAGACAATGTCTTTTACTTTAACATTATGCATTTTAAAACTTTTTTTGTAGTTGTGTATGGATAGAATATCTTTATTTTATTAGTTTATTATTATGTAGTGCTAAGGATTGAACCCAGTGCCTCACACATGCTAAGCAAGTACTTTGCCACTAAGCTATAACCTCTGTCTACCCTTTTTATTTTTTATTTTGAGACAGGGTCTCACTTAGTTTCCCAGGGTGGCCTCCAGCTTTCAATCCTCCTGCCTCAGCCTCCTGAATCACTGGAATTACATGTGTGTACCACTGTGCCTGGATGGAGATTCCTCTTTGAACTCTGGGAGGAAGAGAATGCTTATGCTCTGGAGTGTGGGAGAGATAAAAGTGAGGTGGGGTGGCCCAGGAGGTTCTGTTCCCTCCCTTTCCACATGGAGACTCACCTCTGCTGCTCTGGTGCCTCCTTATTCCCTTGAGATTGCCCAGCCAGTTCCAGGGCCTGGGCCTCCCTCTGGGTGATGTTGTGTTTCCAGCTAGTAAGCAGAAGATTAGGGAGTGGGTAGGCTAGGGGAGACTGCAGATGCTCCCGACCTAAGGACACTTGAATCTTTTGGCACCTCAGTCCTGGGAGAAAGGGTACCTTTTTCTCCACTCAGCCTCCCCACCATTCATGTTTAGTTGCTTCCACCAGTGGCACCTCTTCAAAATTTACCAGGCTGACCAAACAGCAAGAGCATGGAAAGAGACTTGTTATAGTAAGAAAGTACAGGGCGGCTTATTTCCAAAGTCTGAAGTGGTCACCACCAGACAGTCATTGGCAGCCTTTCAGCCTCCTGACTGCATTCCTGGCCCCCTGGGGATCCTCTCTGAGCTTCCACATATTTCCCCAGTTCCTCCTCTTGGAAGTAAAGGGTTGGAACTCTGCCTATGGGGTAGCCACCTTGCTATATTAATCAATGCCACAAATTATCCTTCTAACAAAAAGGAAGAAGACGGAGGAGGAGGCAGAGGAGAAAAAAGAAAAAGGAGGAGAAGGAGGAAGAGGTGGAGGGAGAAGGAGGAGAAGAGGAGGAGGAGGAGGAGAAGGAGACAGAAAGAAGGAAAAAGAAGAAAAGGAAGAGGAGGAGGAAGAAGAAAAAGGAGGAGGCAGAGGAAAAGAAGAAGAGGAGGAGAAGGAAGAAGACAAGGATTGGAAAAAGAAGAAAAGAAAGAGAAAGAACAGGAAGTAGTAATAGTAAAGGGTTGGAAGAAGAAAAAAAAAGAGGAGGAGAGGAGGAGGAGGAGGAGGAGGAAGGGGAAAAAGGAGTAGTAGTAAAGGATTGGTGACCGGCCCTGGCTCTTATCAGCCCCTAGACTGGACTTCTGCCAGAGTCGGGATCTCCATTTCCAACTCCCCACCCTTATCTAGTGAAAGGTGCCACTGGATTTGTGACCTCCTGTCTATGTGACTACATATGGTGACCTGATCTGAACACAGAAGGGCCCGGGCAGGCAGAAGAGGAGTGGGTGTACAAAATGACTCACTTGTTCTTCTTCCCCTTCTGGGCCAGCAGCCAGTTCACAAAGTCTTGCTGGTGGATCTTGTCCATGGCAATGCTGTAGTCACTGATGAAAGTTCCCTCTGCATACCTTGGTCCTAGAGGTCGGGAGCCAGGAACCTTTGCATGGGATCTGAGGGAGGAGAGATGGAAACCAGGATGCCAGGGAAGGGGCAGGGACCAGAGGTCATAATTTAGAGGTAAAGGATTGGATTGCTACTAACAGAAGGCAGACATGAAAACAAGCCAGCCCCATTTCTTGGGAGCCAGTTTTTAATGGAGACACCCTGTTGTCAATTCATTCATTGACAACTGAAGATAAAGTCCTCGGCTCCCTGGGGCTTTTTGCCCGGTTCAAGGACCTTCTTCCTACATTGTGTGTGTGTGTGTGTGTGTGTGTGTGTGTTGTGTTTAGATTCTGGGCAAAGGACTGAATCACAGGTTTTCTTTCTTTCTTTTTTTTGGTACTGGTGATTGAACCAAAGAGTTCACTCTACCATTGAGCTACATATCTGACTCTTTTTCTTTTCCTTTGAAAACAGCATCTTGCTAAATTGCTGAGGCTGGCCTCAAACTTGCATCCTCCCACCTCAGCCTCCAGAGTTGTTGGTATTACAGGCATGCACTACCCACCCAGCTCAGTTCCCTGATTTCTTTCTCTTGCCCTGACCCTGTCTGATTCAGGTCTTTTGCTCACATTTTATAATAATAATAACAACAACAACAACAATAACAACAACAACAACTCACAGAAGATCACTTACTATGACTCAGGTTCTCTATAAACACTTTAGCACATAAAATCATCTAACCCTTACAACATTTCTAGGAAATATCCCCCCCTTCCTGCCCCCCTTTTTTTTTATTCACTCAGTATTGGGAATGGAACCCAGGGTCTTGCACATGGTAGGCAAGTGCTCTACTACTGGGCTACACCCCCACCCCTACCCGCATTGTGTGAGTGAAGAAACCAAGGTGCGAGATCCAGGACTCACCACAGGCAACCTGAGCCCTGGTCTATTGTCTTAACATCTACATGATGCCATTCTCCTTATATGTGTTTTTGACAGCTTCCCTCACATTGACAACTTTACATTTGCCAAATTGACAGGGACTCATGGTGTGTCCTTGCATCTGAGAAGATCCAACTCTACTTAGAATAATCTCTCTTAGTCCTTGAAAGCACCACCAGAGCCTCCTGCTATATTCACCATATTGTTGGCTCTTCATCCCAGTTCTTAGGACAATCTGCAATAGACCTAAGAGCTTCTTTTCTGTCTCCTGGAAGACAGGAGGCAGTGGTAGGTCCCTGTTCACATATCCCCTGTGCCTGAGCACTGGAGGCTCTCTGTAAGAGCTGAGTGAAGGCATGCATCAATGAGTGGCTGAAGCTTTTATCAGAAAGGAAGAAGATGGCTGGGTGAGGTGGTACATGCCTGCCATTCCAGCAACTCTGGAGGCTGAGGCAGGAGGATTGCAAGTTCAAGGTAAGCTTCAGCAACTTAGTGAGGTCCTAAGCAACTCAGTGAGACCTGTCTCAAAATAAAGATAAAAATAAAAAGGACTGGGGATATGGCTCAGTAGTCAATCTACCATTGCTCTTCTGCACCCCAGGGTTTAATCCCTGATAACAACAACAACAACAAAAAACCAGGAGATGATGCCATCTTCTTGAGAACTCAGACATTGAGAAATCCTTCCAGAAATCTAACCATCTAACTGGGCTTTCCCACTGCAGCTGTAACTCATTAATCTCTGGTTCCATTCTCATTCTACACCCAGGTCTCTGGCAGACTTTTCTCCTAACTTCTTTCCTCTTAGTTTGGGGTTCCTCCCTTTCTCACCTTCCCCTTGAACTGAGTCCTGAACGTGGTTATCCCTCAGGCTTCTGCCTTCCTACCTGGAGAAAGACTCTTCCTTCTCTCCCAGCCCCACTGCCAGAAACAAGAGCACCAACAGCAGAGAGCAGGTCTTCATGGCCATCATCTTCCAAGGGTTTTTCCACTCTGAGAAAGAAAAGGGCCAGGACAAGAGAATGAGGGTACAGCCAGGAGGCCATGCAATGCCAGGGCCTGGGCAGGTGCTGGGAGTTGCTGGGGATTAGAGGTAGTGACAAGAAGGGTCCTTGGGGCCTGACCAAGAGATGAATATGCTCAGTCTTAAGTGGACTCTGAAAGGGGTGGAGAAGAACAATGGTAGAGAGACCTTGGCAGAGTAAAGCAGTGAAGGCCTGGATACCTCTCTTCCCTGGCTCCAGGGGCCAGACATCACAGGTGTGGGGTTAGACAAGTTTCTCTGCTTAGAACCTCCCAAGTTCATGGGAGCCAGAGTTCCTGAGTTCTAATTAACTGCCACCCAAATCATTGTGGCCCCCTTGCCCTAAATGAAAACCATGCACAGAACCATCTCCCTTCTCAGACTTAACTATTGTGACTCAGAAAATCTCATCCGAAAGTCAATCTGACCTGTTCTCTTCTTGTAGGGGTTTGATTCATTTCATGGTGGTTCTTCAGTTGAGAGAATGAACAATGAGAAACTTGTCACACTCTCCCATGGCCTGAAAACCAAAGCTGGATCTGGAGAGGTGTGGACTGCAAGAGCTGACCTTCCTTAGAAACCATAGGAGCTGCCTTCCTATTTCTCAGAGGAGGAGAGTGAGACGCCTGGGAGCCCCGCATCTCAAGTAGCCAGAATCTACCTCCTCTCAGGTTATCTCTTCCATCCCCATTCCAGCCTCTCTCTTACCTGACTTCCTTTCTGGCTCTTCCAGAAGAAGGGCAGGATGGGATCCCTTCCTCCTACCTGCTGGCCAGTTGGAGCCTGCCTCAAAAAAGTCTGTCCTAGCTCCTTTATATCCAGGCATCAGAGACCTGCTGATTAGCCTAAAAGCATCTTATCTCAAGAAATTAAGCCCACAGCTCCTGCCACATTAAATCCATTTTACACATAATGACATTGCCCTTCTACCTGGACTGCACTAATTGGTGATTAACATTTGGATATCTCCAGCTGCTATCTGGGGCTGCCCCAGGGGCAGGGTACCCTAAATACCCTCTTTTCTCTTCTCCCTCCTCCTTCTGGGTACACTATTCTTCTCTGCCTACTTCCTGTATAGGTAGCTCCATTGGAGGGTTAGCTTGGTGAGGGCTGACTTGGGGTATGGTGGCACTGCCTGTCGAAGCAGGGGCACTTCCGCAAAGTAATAGGCTACTTCTGGGGGAAAAGAAGAGGCCACAGTCATTGGAACCCTGCTTTGAATAGAGGGCCAAGGCTTGGCATTGTGGTAATGCCCTCATCATACTTTCTAGGGAGTATCCAAGCAGGCTGGGGAAAGGATTGGAGAATGTCATTGAGGTTTCTCACTGATGGCTGCACAAACAGAATTTACAGTCAAGCTGTCTACTACTTAGATGTACAGGATGAACCTAGAGGAACTTAACCACTGGGCCACATCCCCAGCCAGTTTTAATATTTTATTCTGAGACAGGGTCTTGTTAAGTTACTGAGGCTGACTTTGAACTTGCAATCCTCCTGCTTTAGCCTCCTACTGGGAGTACAGGCCATTGTGCCTAGCTTAGAGTGAGGTGTAGTTACAGTTGGGAACTTGGAAGAAGGTGGGGCAACTACAACTCAGTCTGTAAAGATTTGTGAGACCCAAGCCCCCTCCTCAATGCCCTACTCTTCTGTATGAGAGAAGTGTGTCCTGCTATTTCCCCCATCAGCACAGGGCCCTCTGAGGTCATACTGGGCTCTCCAAGGCAAGGCTGCTGCTTCTTCTTCTCCTTTTTTTTTTATTTTTTATTTTTTTTGGTGGTGCTGGGGATTGAACCCAGGGCCTTATGCATGTGAGGCAAGCACTCTACCAGCTAAGTTATATTCCCCAGTCCAAGGCAGGGCTACTTGTTCCTGATCAGACTAAGGGCTCTCTGAGAAGAGCCACACAAGCCAGAGGCTGTGTCCTAAGTCCTTGGAATGCTTTCTGAGCTTTTCTCCACATATCTAGCTCATGGTTCTGCCTACGGGGACTCAGTCTTGCAAGGGCAGGGTGAAGACTGACTGCATTTTTGGCAAACCCCTAAGGCATCCTTCCTGGGTTTCTCCTTGCACTCAACCAGAGTTCTTGGAACCATAAACAGTTGTGCTCCTGTTCTGCCTATTAGCCCTAGGGCTGATAAAGGTCACTTTGCTTCCCAGGTGGACTTGCTGGAATAGGAGTAGATCTAGCATGAAGTTAAGTGCCTGTGTGGGATGAGAGGTCCCTGGACTAGGAGGGTTGCTCACCTCTGCCTCCTAGAAACCTAACCTGCCCACTCATTTATTGCTCACCATCTAGAAAAACTTCTCCCAGAGTAAGCTCCTTAACTTCCATCTCCCAGCTACCAATGGGCAGATATTAGATGTCAGTTCAGGTTCAACCTCTAAAGGGGATGGGGTCTCTGCAATATTGCTTTCTGCTGAGCAACAGTTAACGGGCTCAGAAGGATGTGTCAAAACCGGAGCACTCTTACCTGAGGGCAGAGTGTATCCAAGAAAGAGAATGTCTTTCCCTGGGACCCCCAAGTCTGGTGCTAAACCAGAGTCAAGGAAGTCTCTGCAGTGGGTTCCAGTAGCTGTGAGCCCCACCTCTATTTCTGGGTGTGTTTTAGGGGGTGGGCTGCTCTCAACGTCATTTGTGCCCTAAATCCCCATCCCAGTCCCTTCCACAACCATCTCCTAGTCTGCCTTTGATCTTTGACCCTTGTTCCTCAAGTGGACAGACTAGGGAGGGCCCTGGGAGGGGCAGGATGGGCAGAGCAGGGGGTATAGTGGCCACCAAACCCAAAGCTCCTGCTCAAGCCTCAAGCTCCACATTCCTGGAGATCAACATGGGGAGGGCCAGAGGAGAAGATCAAAGAAGAAACCACAGGCTCTCCCCTGGCTTGTCCACAGGCCCCCCACACCACAGCAACTGGAGAGGCAGGAAAATGGAAAAGATGACCTTGGAAAGTTTCTGGCTATAGGTAGGGCCTCCTAGACTTTTTGTTGGGTTTGTTACTATTTGGTTGTTAGGTTTAGGTATTGATTGATTGATTGATTGATTGCAGTGATGGGGATCAAATCCAGGGCTTGGAAAATACTAAGCTTGCCATCTACCACTGAGCTATACACCCCCATCCAGGGCCTGCTGGACTTGATCAAAATAGTTCAACCAATCCAACTGGCAGCTCACCCAACCTGACCACATCATAAAGAGCAGGGCCTTGATGTGCAGAGTCCTGAGCAGTTTCGGGGTGGGCTGGGGATGGGAAGCTCAGGAGGGAGCAGAGTCATCCCCCACCCCCTGCCTCCTGGTACCACTACAGAGAATTTCCAGGATCTGAGGAGTCAGGGAAGACGCGGGATGGGAGGCAGAGAGACATCCCAACTGGCCCCAAACCCAGGTAGGTGGAGGGAGTATATAGAGGTGGGGGTGGTGAAGTCACAAAAGTCAGAAGTTCACAGGGTAAGATGAGGAAGGAGTGATGGGCCAGAGAGTGCCCAGGTTCCTGCTTCCTAGCTTGGGTCTGGAATGTCCCTCAAAGGCTCCTGTGTTCAAAGCTTTGTCCCCAGTGCAGCAATGTTCAGCGGTGGGGCTTTTGGGAAGTGACTGGGTAGATCTGATCCCATTGATAGATTAGCCCATTTATGGGGCCATAACTGAACTATTGGGAGGTGGTAGAAACTATAGGAGGTGGAACAGGTTGAAGGAAGTGGGGGACATGCCTTAGGAAGGTATGTCTTGTCTGTAGCCCCTTCCTCTCCTCCTCTCTGCTTCCTGGCTGCGATAAGGAGAGCAGCTCTGTTCTGCCACATGCTCTCTGTCTCACCTCAGGCCCAAAGTGAGGGGGCAAATGACCATGAACTTAATCCCCTGAAAGTATAAGCCAAAGCAGATCTTTTTTCCTTTTCTTTAAAATTTGCAGTGCTTGAGATTGAACCCAGGGGTTCTCTACCACTGAGCTACATCCCCAGACTTTTTTTTTTTTTTTTTGAAACAGGATCTCACAAAGTTGCCCAGGCTGGCCTCAAACTTGTGATCTTCCTGCCTCAGCCTCCCCAGTTGCTGGGACTACAGGCATACGCCACACCACCATGCCTGGCTCTTTTCTCCTTTGAGTTGATTTTCTCAAGGTTATTTTGTCACAGTGATTAAAATCTGACGGACGCATAGCCCTTCATGGGTGCTAAGATGGAGGCCCAGGAATGTGAACTGAACAGAAGAATAAAATTTGGTGTTTGCTGGCTGTTCCCGGCCCCAGTGGTGACTCACTACCACCACCTCCCACCACAGCCACTGCTGACATTCCAGGCCCAGCCTGAAGCCCAGCCTGAAGCCAGTCCGCCTGACTCAGAGTGCTGGCCTCAGCCCTCCCTGCGTGGACACTACTTTTGAAGTTCCCTCAGTTTTCAAATTCACTGGCTGACTCAGAAAGTCAGCTTCCCCCTCTGATCCCTCTTATACCTCCTGCAGCCCAGGAGACAAGAATTGACATGGCCGTGAGTCATCTGGTTGTCCTGATTCCTAGAAGGACTACCTCCTGCTTTCCTTCCCAGCTACACCACAACCACAGTCATGGTCCCAAACATTTTTGGCCATACCAACCCCCACCACCACTTAGGTCAAGAGAGCTACTTTCCAGATTGGTCTCTAAGTCTTTCCTGGCCATTTGCTAAAGCAATCAGTTTGGAAGTTCTCTCTCAGATCTTATCCTAATCCCTCTTGCTGTTTTCAAAGACTTTTTGTTTGTCAGGGAAATAGCTCAAAACTTTAGCATTTGCTGCCTAATCCCTAGGAGGAGAAATGAAGTAAAGAGTTAGAACTAGGAGGGGGTGGCCACCAGATCCTCACTTCCAGGGAACTGTGCTAGAGGGAAAGGGTTTCACACAGGTGTGAATACCAAGAGGCAAGAGATAATTGAGGGCCACCTTATCCATTTGGGATGGAAGACCAAAGGCCTGAGGCTCCC